CCAGAGCAGTCCGCTCCACTGGTGCCCAGTCCAGCTCCGGTCAGCTGCTCCACTCCAGTGCCAGAGCAGTCCACTCCACCGGGGCCCAGTCCAGCTCTGGTCAGCGGCTCCACTCCAGTGCCAGAGCAGTCCACTCCACCGGGGCCCAGTCCAGCTCTGGTCAGCTGCTCCACTCCAGTGCCAGAGCAGTCCGCTCCACTGGTGCCTAGTCCAGCCCTGGTCAGCTGCTCCAGTCCAGAGCCAGAGCAGTCTGCTCCACCGGGGTCCAGTTCAGCTCCGGTCAGCGGCTCCACTCCAGAACCAGACGTCAACCCCTCTCCAGGGTCGGGGCCTCCTACACCAGGGTCCAGACAGGGCTTGGTGCATCGCGGGATGATTGCCGGTCCAGGCCCAGACGTCAGCCCCTCTCCAGGGTCGGGGCCTTCCACACCAGGGTCCAGACAGGGCTTGGTGCATCGAGGGAGGACTGAGAGGGGAAGCATCACGCCGAGGTCCAGACCGGACCAGGGATGCAACGGGGAGGCAGTAAGGTAGAGGACGTCACGCCCGGAGCCGGAGCCGGAGCCGCCACCGAGGCTAAATCCCCACCCGGACCCTCCCCTGTTAAGTTAGGTTTTGCGGCCGGAGTCCGCACCTTTGGGGGGGGGGGGGGGGGGTACTGTCACGCCCTGACATAGAGTTTGCTAGTTGGTTTGGTCAGGGCGTTAGTATCTATGTAATGTGAATTTCTATGTGTAATCTATGTTGTTGTATTTCTATGTTGGCCGGGTGTGGTTCCCAATCAGAGGCAGCTGTCGATCGTTGTCTCTGATTGGGGATCATACTTAGGTAGCCATTTTGCCTACCTATGTTGTGGGATCTTGATTCTTGTTTGGCTTGTTTGTGTGTAGCCATTGTGAGCTTCACGTTACGTTGCTTTTGTTGTTTTGTCGTGTGTTAACTTAGTGAATAACCATGTATGCATTCCACGCTGCACCTTGGTCCAATCCTGTACTCAACGAGCGTGACATCATGCTGAATTGACAGCATGGCCAATGTATTCAACCTTTTCTGGCCCATGGTGTTGCTTGTGAATGTTTATCCTTTTAAGCTTGGAAAAGAGACCCTTAAACTCAAACTTGGACCACACACCCTCTCCACCGAATAGCAGGCAGGGGAAGAAAAATTGTGATTGCTTTGTAACGCTTGCAGTTAGCCACTGATTCCTTCCAAACCACTCATTGTTGAATTTGCGATTTACAACTTGTTGTGTAATGTTTATGGCCGATGAGCACCGATAAGTTTTATCTATAATTTATCTTCATATGACAAGGATTTAAAATGATTTGCCAGTTGACTGTCGATGTGATTCATGATGATGACTGCTTATCCAGCTTGCTAGTTAAGATTTTGAAAGTATGATGTTGACATGATCAGTCCAATCAAAGCTACTGTAGCTATAATGTGATTTGACGTCATTTTATCTGTGGCCAGTGACCTTGACCCTTCTTGGATGGGCACTTCTAATGTAAATCTATGGCAGCACCCAAGGGGGCATGAACTTTCTAGCTCTCCCTGTAGATTTTGCGATGACGCAGTGTCCCCATGAGTGACAGAAGACTGAGCCAATCACAAAACAACTACAGAAGATTACCAACCCCTACGCTCTGTATTTTCCTCTGGCTGTCTCTCCACCACAGCAAGCACTGAGCTAGGCTGAAACACCTGCATTTTGGAGCTGCCTTACTCAAGAAAGCAAAAAAGAGACCATGTTTGTATGCGGCTTTATTAACTCCCCAATTTATTTTACATTGTTTGCAAACTGATATGTGACACGTATTAATGCCAAAATAACATGCAAAACAGGTGGGGATCATAACAGGTGAGGCTCCACCTGCCCTGAATGACGGGTCGCCAATGGTTCCAGGTCACAGGTGAAGCCAGCCGGTTGATCTGTCAGCACTGCCTTCATCAACACACAGAGTAAAATGGTGCCTTTGTTAGCTCCCTCCCAGTCCAGGTGATCCAATATAACATAACATCCAACCATCCAGCCGAGTCAGCAAGGCCGTTTCGCCCTCTCCCCTCCTTTATCTCCTTCTCTCGTTTCATATGAAAATAAAAAAGGGAATATTTTGCAGATGAAGGAACATTCCAGCAATAATGTCACCCTAAGACTTGGTTTGGAAACAAAGGTGGCGGATAGAAGAGCAAAGTGTTATTTTATAAGTCCCATGTTTTGGATTGGAATTGTTGGACATTGTGCAATGTTAAGATGTAATATTTTCCGCTCTTAAATCCACAAACTATTATACTGTTTTCTTTGGATGAGCTATGATGGTTACAGAGCTAGAAATGGGATGTTTTCGGCCACACGTTTTGTCACATAATCCTTATTCCAGAGTACCTACTGGTGCAATAACCTATAAAATCACTTATGCACTTTATATGATAGAATTGTAACAATCTAGTAAGTACATGCAATTATGCAGTACTGACCACTGTCCTTTTCGTATTTCCATGGTAAACAGAATTAACAATTGGCAGACCCATTTAACTACCTGCATTTACAAACATGCTACAATGTAATTACATGCATTATTCCCTTATAATTAACTAGGAATGGTTTGGCAATGTAATTTAAGGTTCTGCTGAATTGTGCAATTTTAGTCCCTTCAGAAGCCCCTTCCTCTATCCCTCCTACTTCCTCCTCTATTCCCCCTTTCCTGGTCCCTCTCAGGTCACATGACCACTTAAATATCCCTTACCAGAGACAATACTCCACTATCTCTTTCACAGTCCCTCTGGCATTTCCCTCTATAGCTACATTGTTTCCATATAGCCGCTCACAACTATTATACAACCATTTCCACCCAGTTGAAATGTTGATATACTTAGCCTGTAGCTAGCTACTAAAACATACACTACCAGTCAAAAGTTTGGACACACCTACTCATTCAAGGGTTTTTCAAAAAATTGTAGAATAATAGTGATGACATCAAAACTATGAAATAACACATATGGAATCATGTAGTAAACCAAAAAATGTTAAACAAATTCTTTAAATAGCCAACCTTTGCCTTGATGACAGCTTTGCACACTCTTGGCATTCTCTAAACCAGCTTCATGAGGTGGTCACCTGGAATGCATTTCAATTAACAGGTGTACCTTCTTAAAAGTTAATTTGTGGAATTTCTTTCCTTCTTAATGCGTTTGAGCCAATCAGTTGTGTTGTGACAAGGTACGGGGGGTATAGAGAAGAAAACCCTACTTGGTAAAAGACCAAGTCCATATTATGGCAAGAACTGCTCAAATAAGCAAAGAGAAATTACAGTCCATCATTACTTTAAGACATGAAGGTCAGTCAATCTGGAAAATGTCAAGAACTTTGAACGTTTCTTCAAGTGTAGTCGCAAAAACCATCAAGCGCTATGATGAAACTGGCTCTAATGAGGACCTCCACAGGAATGGATAACCCAGAGTTACCTCTGCTGCAGAGGATAAGTTCATTAGAGTTACCAGCCTCAGAAATTGCAGCCCAAGTAAATGCTTCACAGAGTTCAAGTAACAGACACATCTCAACATCAACTGTTCAGAGGAGACTGTGTGAATTAGGCCTTCATGGTCTAATTGCTGCAAAGAAACTACTACTAAAGGACACCAATAAGAAGAAGAGACTTGCTTGGGCCAAGAAACACGAGCAATGGACATTAGGCCCATGGAAATTTGTCCTTTGGTCTAGAGTCCAAATTTGAGATTTTTGGTTCCAACCGCTGTGGCTTTGTGAGACGCGATGTAGGAGAACGGATGATCTCCACATGTGTATTTCCTACCGTAAAGCATGGAGGAGGAGGTGTTATGGTGTGGGGGTGCTTTGCTGGTGACACTGTCTGTGATTTATTTACCAAGAAGGAGGGTGATGGAGTGCTGCATCAGGTTACCTGGCCTCCACAATCCCCCGACCTCAACCCAATTGAGATGGTTTGGGATGAGTCGGACCGCAGAGTGAAGGAAAAGCAGCCAACAAGTGCTCAGCATATGTGGGAACTTCTTCAAGACTGTTGGAAAAGCTTTCCAGGTGAAGCTGGTTGAGAGAATGCCAAGAGTATGCAAAGCTGTCATCAAGGCAAAGGGTGGCTATTTGAAGAATCTCAAATATAAAATATATTTTGATTTGTTTAACACTCTTTTGGTTACTACATGATTCCATATGTGTTATTTCATAGTTTTGATGTCTTCACTATTATTCTACAATGTAGAAAATAGTAAAAATAAAGAAAAACCCTGGAATGAGTAGGTGTGTCCAAACTCTTGACTGGTACTGTATGTCAAACTACCAAACAAGTGGCTTATCTGGCTTTCTGATACAGTCCTGTCCTTTCTCTTCACTGTTTGTGCAATACAGTTGTAGGCCTAGACACACTTTGTCCATGTGCCCTCAATTGAGCACATCCAAATCCATCTACTCCTTTCAAAATGAGTCATTTGCCAGTATCCCAGGTGTTCCCAATGCTAGCTCTAAAATAGATATATCGCTCCGGTCCACACAGCTAGTCCTAGATTAGTGGGAGAATTGGGTTAGCTCATTATTACTATAGCTCTGACACTGCTCCAGTGTTGAGTGGTACCATTATGATTGTACCTCTGGGAAATACCTGGCCTATTTTCATTAAACTATGACTTCCAGGGCACGCCAAGATGACCCTTATACATGGTTCTTTGTGTTGTTGTGGTATACATTATTATCCATCAATCCAGGTCATGGAAGAACATAGTCTATGCATCAATAGGTGACTTCGGATGATACCTATGCTAAACTATTGGCTGTATTGCTAAAAGTACTTCTCTGGGAGAAAGAGGGCCCCAACTTCTAAAAACAAACCTTCTAAAGGCCTGAACCTATATGTGAAGTTATGAGGGGCTCTGTCTAACATATGAACAGTCTGACTGTTGACCTTTACCTGTAGAACATGGAGCAAGGGATCCCCCATGGAGGATGGATGGGGGGAGGGAGGGTGGTGTCACTGAAAGGCAGCCCGGATCGTCCTGTCACTAAGGGGCTGAGTGGGGCGGAAGTTGTCCCCCAACATCCCATCGTTTCCCTCAGGAAGCTCAGCACCTTTTAGATGGGACCTCAGCCTCCTGAACTCCTCTATCTGGGAGAGAGGGATGAGAATGAGAGAGGGATGAGACAGAGGGAGAGAAAGAGTGATGAGATGAGGGAAATTAGGGATATGGAGGAAGAAAGAGTGAGAGAAGTTACACAGAAGGGAATGAGTGGTGTTGGATGAATTAAATAAGTGTTCTATCTGGTGATTATGGTGTGGATCAATATTAGCATTTTACTGTATGTTAGGCTTAGGCCTAATTTCTTCCTGTCCTGGGCTATTTTAGACTCCTCTTTCCAGGTGAGCCCTACTCTGGTTATACACTAAGTGTACACGACATTAGGAACACCTGCTCTTTCCATGACAGACTGACCAGGTGAATCCACGTGAAAGCTATGATCCCATATTGACGTCACTTGTTAAATCCACTTCAATCAGTGTAGATGAAGGGGAGGAGACGGGTTAAAGAAGGATTTTTAAGCCTTGAGACAATTGAGACGTGGATTGTGTATGTGTGCCATTCAGAGGGTGAATGAGCAAGACAAAATATTTAAGTGTCTTTGAACGGGGTGTGGTAATAGGTGCCAGGCGCACCGTTTTGAGTGTGTCAAGAACTGCAAATCTGTTGGGTTTTCACACTCAACAGTTGTGTGTATCAAGAATGGTCCACCACCCAAAGGATATCCAGCAAACTTGACACAACTGTTGGAAGCATTGGCGTCAACATGGGCCAGCATCCCTGTGGAACGCTTTTGACACCTTGTAGAGTCCATGCCCCCGACGCATTGAGGCTGTTCTGAGGGCAAAAGCGGGTGCAACTCAATATTCTTAATGTTTTGTACACTCAGTGTATATGTAGCAGTAAAATGACAAACATTCTCCATTAAGATTTTCATTGGGCACTGGACTGGACACCTTAAGCTAATAGTTATCTGGTTGGATGGGAGAATGATCTACATAGAATATTCCATTTAACAATGATTTACCATCACATCTAGTGATGTTTCATGAATCAAAATATTAAAGGTGTTCCTAAACAGACTGTATATTGGGTAGCTGCCCTCAAGAGTTAATTATAAACTCGGTGGTTTGAGCCCTGAATGCTGATTGGCTGACAGCCATGGTATGTCAGACCGTATACCACGGGTTTGACAAAACATTTATTTTTACTGCTCTAATTATGTTGGTAACCAGTTTATAATAGCAATAAGGCACCTCAGGGGTTTGTGGTATATGGCCAATATACCACGGCTAACGGCTGTGTCCAGGCACTCCGTGTTGCGTCGTACATAAAAACAGTCCTTAGCTGTGGTATATAGGCCATATACCACACCCTTCGGGCCTTATTGCTTAAATATAACACTGAATTATAGGATCTCTATGAACTACCCTGACTGTATTTTTACTGTACATTAATAATTGGTCGGTCAATGCGTATTTACATTTCATTTATCATTCAGGTTTTTTTTGCTTTTTGATTCTTCACTTCCTGCCTTTGCCCTCCATCATAACCTTTCCACCCGGTCCAAAGGGAGGTGTCTGGTCTTTACATGAAAGGCTTGTTCAGGATCAAAGCTTCTGTAGAAAGCATGCTAACTGGGAGGACAAACTGTATTGTGCAGTGCTGTTGAATCAGAGGTTGGGGTCATTGGTTCATAAATATAGATCATTTTAAATCAATCCTAACACCTTACCCTGGCAGAAGAAAACCGTCAATACAGTGAGTGCAACCTCAGGATCTAAAGAAGTGGAGCTGGTTTCAATAACATTTGGTATAAAAGCAATATGGCCACTTGGAGTTGTAGGAGGCGCCATCACCATTGATCTGTGAAGGAATAGGACCTAGAGCAGTGGTCACCAACCGGTCGATCACGATCGACTGCTCGATCTCCAAGGCATTCTTAGTCGCTCACCAAACATTTCTGTAAAAAACAACAACGATTTTATTTATTTAAAAAAAAAATTGCGCTGTTGGTGGTAGGTGCACTTGAGTTTTCCCATTTTTAACCATTTCATGTGTCTGAAGGTAGAACTCTGCATACCCGGCAGGCCCAGACAGCAAATCAAGTGCACCTATAGGTCTACCGCTGGCCAATAAGATAGCTCAGATCACTGTGTCTGCACAATTTCCTCAAGCCATAGACTGTAAAAAGAAGCCTCGAGAACACAGAAGAGTTGATACTGTGAGATTTCAAAACTTTTAAAACCATGACTAGAGAGAGACTTAATGAATACAGCAAAGAGCTGCTGTTTTATAAGTAAGTGAATGTTTAAGTTGTAATTTAGCACTGCAGCTGCAATGAATGACTATAGCAAAGTGATTCGATAAGCTTGCGTTATTATTATTAGCGGCTTGTGTCTTTTTTAATATTGAGGAATATTTCACTTTCTCTGGTCATAGGAGTAACAACATGAATTGGTGCATGAGGCAGAAATAATGCAGTGCAACTTGAGTTTTGCCATCACCTGGAAGACTGTGTCCCCTTTTCTCACCTGAGGGAGGGAGAGCGTAGGGACGGTGAGTCGGGTGAGAGGCAGCTTCACCGCTGCTCTATCCCTCCCTCCCCTCAGACTGACCATCAGATGCAGGCCATCAGTCCAATAAAAAAAAAATATATATATATATTATGCTCACTCAGCTGTGCCTCAAAAGTAATACAACAAATGATCTATACCAGTGTGCTCAAATACCTACAATGTTGAAATATAATTTCAAAATGGTCTGAGAAGAACAACATTGGCAGGGCAATTCAAGCATAGCCAATATGTAGTGATAATGTATTGGGCCTATCGCCTACTGCACAAACCTCATTGCTACAGAACTGTTTTAAATAGGTTAATGCTGCATAGGCTTACGTTTTTTAAGTCATGTTTAAAAAAAATCTGAGCAGTAAATCTAAGCTTGCTTTTGGACTCAGAAAGTCATCTTGACTCAGAAAAGGTTGATGAACACTGACCTAGAGGTAGGACATGGGGCAAGGGTCTAGAAGCCAACATGGAACCATTTGATATTATTTGACCCTGCTGGATATCTATGAACGTTTGAATATTTTGAATAACAATCCAGCCTAAATTGCCCCATGTACTCTTTTAATCTCCACCCGGTACAGCCAGAAGAGACTCTGAGCCTGGTTCCTCTCTAGGTTTCTTTTCCTAGCCACTGTGCTTATGCGTCTGCAATGCTTGCTTTTTGGGGTTTAAGGATGGGTATCTGTAAAGCACTTTGTGACAACTGCTGATGTAAAAAGGGATTTATAAAATACATTTGATTGATTCATTGAACCAGGCCACTGTGTCAGATGGCCTACCTGTAACTGTGAGATGGTGAGTGGGTAGCGGTACAGGATCCAGGTGACGTTCTCACTACATGGAGGGGTGGTCAGGGAGCCCTCATACATCCAGTAGTCTCTCAGGAGAGGGTCTGGAGGGAGCAACAAACACATACCATAACTTCATCTAATACTGTGTCACACCATACATGCAAGCAGGAATCATACACAATTAGATGAAGGACTCACCAGGAAGTAGTGTGTTGGGATTGAAGCACGGTATTATTTTGGTCTTCCCCTGTAAAGATAAGTCAAAACACAAAAATATTGGTTGTTTTGCTTCATTTGTAATGTCCTCTTCATTTAGCCACCATGTCATGACTGTGTTATTGACAGACCGATCATCTGTACTACTGGAGCTCTTCCTTCACATTCTGCATCAACATTTCTCCTGTCTAATCTTAAATGTTTCACATGGTCTCAAATCAATCTGGAGCATTAATTGCATCAGGTTTAATTTAAAAATCTATGAATAAATTGCTGCATGCTCCAACCGTTGCACCTCTACTGATTGTCTGTTAACTTCCTCATTTGATGGTTAGTGCTATCAGGCATTCTTGGGACATCCCTACCCTAAACCTGGACCCCTACCCTTACCCTAACCTTAACCCTTACCTAACCCTAACCTTAACCCATACTTTAACAATTTTAAATGTCAATGGGGTAGGGATATCCCAAGGATCCCTGATAGCACAGACCCTAATTTGGATTGTCTATGTACTGTATGTCTTCCTCTCTCTCAGTTAAGCACTGGGCATCTACACCCTTAGGTCATATCAGTAATTTCTCATAACCTCTGCTCTCTCATCACCATGAAAACTCATAACCATAACATCATCGCCATAACAATATCACCTGGACAACAAAATGGACGCCAACGTCTTACCTTGTATTGTAGGTCCTGCAGCACTTCTGTTATGGCCTTCAACCCCAGATGCTCCTTCCCTATCTGAAGGAAACAACGTCAAGGGCAAGGAGTCAAAAAAAAGTTAAGGAAAGAGGGTCCTAACACAGTGGTATTCAAACGTTTTCAGCGGGGACACCATTTTATTCGGCAGAATTTCTGGGGACCCCATTTCTTGGTGCATTTTTTTCACGACCCCATCCCACCTCAAATATAATGACACAACCTTAAATCGGTACATTTCGATTTTTACGTCAACAAATAACCTTCAATTCATGACATTTTCGTGTCTTATCAAAATGAAAATAAACCAATAAATACATTAACTCAATAACATTGAATTTTTCTAATTATCTTTCTCAAAAACGTCCCATGAACTCTTCCTAAAAAAGTACAAAATATTAAAATAATTATCATAATTTGGCGACCCCACTGCAGTTCTTGCGACACCGACTTTGAATCCCACTGTCCTAACAGATCAACATAATGTTATGACGTTAACAGTTCTTAACATAGGGCTGTTGACGTGAGTCCTGCCAGGATGTGATGGTTGTGGGGGAAACTCTTGGAGCTTTCAAAAACAGGAAGGACAAAGTGATGGGTTCACTTAAAACAGACTGTCTTATACGTTTAGGTAAATAGTAAGCCTCAAGCCAGTAAGCCTCAGTCCAATTCAAAAAACGAAAACAAGTGGATATATGTTGACTTTAGTGTCAAAGCTGATATGAATATAAAATGATATAAACTACAGTACCAAGTTGGCAAGTCCCTAAAAGAACCATACTGACCAATGAGAAGAGAGGATTCTCATATGACTATAGAGTGAACCAAAGCAATCAATACCTGCACAAACAGAGCGATGATGAGAACTCCATGCTTTTTTCCCAGGGCTTCTTCCTCACTGTTGAACAGCGTTGTGTTCCAGTGGATCAGATGGAGCTGGGGGGAAGCACACTTATTGTATCATATTTATATTGTATCATATTATAGGGAAGATGATCACAAAAGAGATCAACCACATATGATATTCAAAGAAAGAAAGAAAGAAAAGAAAGAAAGAAAGAAAGAAAGAAAGAAAGAAAGAAAGAAAGAAAGAAAGAAAGAAAGAAAGAAAGAAAGAAAGAAAGAAATAAATAAATAAATAAATAAATAAATAAATAAATAAATAAATCATGGGCAGAGGGAGGCTGGAGAAGACAGGGCCAAGACAGAGCAGTTGTATGGGACGTAAGTGCACTCTTCAGTTTTAAATAGAGGACCAAGCACCTGTGATAAAGAAGCACACTTATAAAGCCAAACTAGCAGTGGCATAGCCTCTTCAGGGCCTTTCAAATGCTTGTTTACATAAATGGCCTCAGTGATTTGTAAATACATGAAACATAGTAATGAGATATAATATACTGTATAATAAAAATATATGCCATTTACCAGACGCTTTTATCCAAAGTTACTTACAGTCATTTGTGCATACATTTTTGCGTATGGGTGACCCCAGGAATCACAACCCTGCTCTACTAACTGAGACATACAGGACCACGTCATTGTAAATAAGAATTTGTTATTAACTGACTTGCCTAGTTAAATAAAGGTTAAATAAAATAAAAACAAATATAAAAGCCCTTACCTTTTATGTGAAAATAACATACCAACTCCCTCTGTCTGAGAACTGTGACAGTGGCCTCCAACTTAGACAAACATCCATGGTCATGGCCTTGAAGTAGACAGTGTGTGTGTGTGTGTGTGTGTGTGTGTGTGTGTGTGTGTGTGTGTGTGTGTGTTTGGCTGAGACTCATACCTCCATGGGGAAGGCCTTAAAGTTGACGGTGTGTTCTGACCCCCGCTGGTTCTCCTTGCCCCAGTGGAAGCGCACCTCATGCAGCTCGTACTCATGGTCACTTGGCAATGGGCCACCGGTTACCACTGCAGACAGGAAACCCAGAGTATCATGTGAGAGCAGACACATTTAATGAAGACCACATTAAATGACCTGGGGGTTCTGAATGTAGGTCTGAATTCTGGTGCAACTCTGATTTAGCCACGTGTGCATCACATGCAGCACACAGTCATTGACTCAACGTTCAGTTGTTATGGCTAATGTGAGCTCATTGAAAAGGTGTATGCAAGATCAACAGTCTAGTGGAGGGTTCACGAACAGTTAACCCATTAATTGTTTTGATGTGCACTGTGGTAATGTAATATCAACATTTCACCTGATTTGGACCTCAGAATGATGCGTGCGGTGTGTCCATCGTTGATGACCTCACAGTCCCGACACACCACATAATTGGGCGTGAGCCCCACATCCAGGAGAGAGGGGTCATAACGGGCCTCCCGGGAGTTCAGGTTGATTGGGGACTGGTACTCCCCATTCGCATCAGGGAACAGCAAACCCCACTCTACACCTGAAAACCCACACAACTTTGACTTAAACTCCACCAAATGCTCTCCTTAGTGTAACGTCACTGAGGTTCCAACCTCTGGCTTGCACTGAGACCTCCATGCAGAGGCCTCTTTGCTGTGTGGTGAAGTCACAAAGTGGTTACGGAGTATGTCAGGTGGAGTGTAAATCCAGCCTTTGAATACACAAGCAGCATAAACAAAGTGTACTGTATACCTGAGGACACACACACACATGCACAGACACTGAAGCTAAACTGGGATAAGAGTACGCCAATCCCTGAGTGTCGCTGAGTACTTGGGGAGTCTGTACCAGCAATAACGCTCACCAGAGGGATACAAGGATGTTCTAGTTCTTCTTTCTTAACACCTCTCACACTTTCTCTCTTTTCACTTCATCCTCTTCCTCTCTGTCTATACCTCACTGACACAATATCTTCCTCTCTTTTTCACACTTCGTCATACCCCCTCCTTCAATCTTCCACAAAGAGTACACATATTCTCATGATCATTGTCTCACTTTTTTTCACACTCTGTAAGAACATTCTGTTAGCTAGCTAGCGGTCTTTGGTCTCTGCTCTTTCCATATAATGCCCTGAATTATTTCAAAGTCATTTATCACTGTGCTGTAAGGGCAGAGAGAGTGCAAAACTCAATTTGTCAAATCAGATTTTAGATAACTAAATATGTCAGGGACACACCCACCTAGAGTATATCTCTCTGTTTCTAGTCCCCAGATGGGACATAAACTGGACAAAGTCCCACCCACTCTGAAATGTCTGACCTCACACACACAGCGTTGTAATTAAGATGATGAAACCATTGCTTTGAATTGCAGAGGGAGCCCATAGCACAAAAACATGTAAAATCAAAGTTTATTGGTCGCGTACACAGTTTAGCAGATGTTATAGCAGGTGCAGTGAAATGATTGTGTTACTAGCTCCTAACAGTGCAGTAAAAATGTCAAACAAGTACACAAATAATAATCAAAAACTAGAACAAGAAATCACAAATGTCAGAACAAATCCAGTTAACAACCCAAATTTCATTGAAATGACGTGGAAACAATGTTGATTCAACCAGTGTGTGCCCAGTGGGTAAGAATGAGATGTACAGAGGTAGATCAATTACAGTGAGCTATGTCAAGAATCCAGTATATAAATAAATATGTGGTGTGTATAAACAGTGTAACAAAGTGCAATGTACAGTCGTAGAAATATTAGAATGAGCTATGAAGAGAATACAGTATTTAAAAACAGTGTGAAAACCAGAATAAAAAGAATGTGCTGAAACAATTAGCTTTCTGAAGCAAAGCCGAGAGTCATTAAATGGCGCGGCTTATGAGGCTAAGTTAGTTAGCGCTACAGACAAGTCCTCTCTTCTCTTTCAGTGTATGGATGACTTTATCCCCTACCAACAAGATTCTTTTCATCTTAAGTCAACACCAATAACAACATTAGTTACTAAAAGTTTAGCTCTTGACTTTGTTATAAAAGCTCTCGTGTTCTTTTCCAGCTACTGGAAACCTTAATTATTACCCACCAAGAGTCCAGAGGTGTTTTGAGACTGTGTGCACAATTGTGCCCTGGACAAGAGCTCTTAAAAGCTCAGAACCATGAAAGTATGGTAGATAGACCACTACTCTCTTAGAATACTTTATCATGGATGTGACTCCAGAATCTCAATTTCAGCTCTACACATAATTTGCGTGATCAAGTTACCCCAATAAGAAGTGCATTGATCAAAATACCCTACCTTCTTTAAGTTCTTTACCTACTGTACGTGTACGAGAGAGAGAGAGAGAGAGAGAGAGAGAGAGAGAGAGAGAGAGAGAGAGAGAGAGAGAGAGAGAGAGAGAGAGAGAGAGAGAGATAATAGAGAAATCTATTTTTTCTGTTTATATCTGAGAATAAAGTATTTCCATACCAATGCATGCATTGTTAAGTGCCTAAATAGTAAATAAAGTTATGTTTTGTGAGAGAAAAAGAGAAAAAGAGTGAAAGAGTGAAAGAAGTGTATACTAAAAACTTCCAAAGCCCTTACCTTCCTGATATCCCCAGTCCAGTTCATCCTTCCCAGGGTAGTACTCAGAGTCCTCAATCACACTGTCTGCCATGGCTGTGACAGTATGAAATAAGTATTTTTACTGAACACACTTGCTTTGATTTGATGTCAAAGTCAGTCAAAGTCTTTGGCTTTTGTTTTTATCTGTTTTCTTCCTTCCTTTCTTTGTGAGGTAGGAAGAGTAGTCTGTCCGATGCCAGTGAGGTGCTGCAGGTGCAGCGGTTCAGCTCCAAATACTGATGAAGGGGGTGCTCAGTCCATCTAATAGGAGAGAGAGAAGGTCCCGCTAGCTGCTCTGTCTCTCTCTCTCTGCTGCAGTGTAGACTCTCCCATCTACAGACACACTAGGTCAGTTTCAAAACTATCTTTCAGCACCAGCAGCTCACAGAGTCCCCGCCCCACACAGACAGAGAAAGCTTGGATTGGATTAGTCAAGTCCCTGTCAAAATGGAGCACCTTTTAAACAGCTCAGCAATTCACTATGGTGTAAGGAAAGGAAGATCTGTGTGTGTGTGTGGAATGTTGACAGGAATGTCAGAACTATGTTTCTCTTGGACACAAGGCCAGAGATCCGCCTCCTAGGGTGAAGGAAACGGGTAGTGGTAGTGTTGTCTTACCTTGATTATTGTCCAGCTAATATAAATACTATGCATGCCAGTCTCTCTTGGCTAAGAGTTGAGGAGAGACTGACTGCATCGCTTCTTCTTTTTATGTGTTGAAAATTCCAAATTGTTTACATAGTCAACTTACGCACAGCTCTGACACACACACTTACCCCACCAAACATGCCACCAGGGGTCTTTTCACAGTCCCCAAATCCAGAACAAATTCAAGAAAGCGTGCAGTATTATATAGAGCCATTATTGCATGGAACTCCCTTCCATCTCATATTGTTCAAATGAACAGCAAACCTGGTTTCAAAAAATAGATAAAGCAACACCTCACGGCCCCAACGCCTCTCCCCTATTTGACCTAGATAGTTTGTGTGTATGTATTGATATGTAGGCTATGTGTGCCGTTTTTAAATGTATGTAGTTCTGTCCTTGAGCTGTTCTTGTCTATTAATGTTCTGTATTATGTCATGTTTCATGTTCTGTGTGGACCCCAGGAAGAGTAGCTGCACATTTCGCAACAGCTAATGGGGAACCTAATAAAATATCAATACCAAAAAAACAAAAATAAGCGGGGGAGAGGGAGACGGGGAAGAGTGGTGGAGAGTTTTTCAGAGGGGTTACTGTTAGGAATAGATATTATGTTCCTGATGTTTTTGAGGTGAAGAAATTGACAGTCAGCATTTCAATTTTAGAATGTGATCCATTTGTGTTTCCTCAAAGATTACAAGGTTTTTTCCCCCATCTGTTTGTGCAAAGAGAACATATTAACAATATTATTGGAAAATAGAAGGTTTGTGTAATATTGGTGTCACATATTTCACGTGCACGTTCCTGTGGAATTTTAAAGTCATTTACTGGCTAGGCTTTTTGTTGACTATTGCAGCACATAGTGGCCTTGTTGCCTTGTGGTTCGAGTGTCTGTCCTGAGATTGGAAGGTTGGGAGTTCGATCCCCGGCCGAGTCATACCAAAGACTCAAAATAATTAAGGAGAGAGATTGGGGGTAAGACTAGTGTCCTGTCTTGGTAGTGTCAAGCTGTCTCATGCTACAGAAACAGGACTCTTGCTCCTATGAGCCATTCCTGCTGCGCAAGGCTCCTTATTTACAGCACATAATAAACCAATAATTTCATTCTCAATGGATACAGTGCATTTGGAAAATATTCAGATCCCTTCACTTTTTCCACATTTTGTTACAGCCTTATTCTAAAATGGATTAAATGATTTTTTTTCCTCATCAATCTACACACAATACCCCATAATGACAAAGAGAAAACAGGTTTTTAGACATTTTTGCAAATGTATTAAAAATAAAAAACAGAAATACCTTATTTACAGAGGTATTCAGACCCTTTACTATGAGACTCGAAATTGAGCTCAGGTGCATCCTGTTTCCATTGATCATCCTTGAGATGTTTCTACAACTTGACTGGAGTCCACCTGTGGTAAATTCAATTGATTAGACATGATTTGGAAAGGCACACACCTGTCTATATAAGGTCCCACAATTAACAGTGCATGTCAGAGCAAAAAACAAGCCATGAGGTCGAAGGAATTGTCCGTAGAGCTCAGAGACAGGATTGTGTCGAGGCAAAGACCTGGGGAAGGGTACCCAAAGCTTTCTGCAGCATTGAAGGTCCCCAAGAACACAGTGGCCTCCATAATTCTTAAATGGAAGAAGTTTGGAACCACCAAGACTCTTCCTAGAGCTGGCCGCCCGGCCAAACTGAGCAATCGGGGGAGACTGGCCTTGGTTAGGGAGGTGACAACGAACCCGATGGTCACTCTGACAGAGCTCCAGAGTTCCTCTGTGGAGATGGGATAACCTTTCAGAAGGACAACCATCTCTGCAGCACTCCATCAATCAGGCCTTTATGGTAGAGTGGCCAGACGGAAGCCACTCCTCAGTAAAAGGCACGACAGCCCGCTTGGAGTTTGCCAAAAGACTCTCAGACCATGAGGAACAAGATTCTCTGGTCTGATTAAACCAAGATTGAACTCTTTGGCCTGAATGCCAAATGTCATGTCTGGAGGAAACCTGGCACCATCCCTACGGTGAAGCATGGTGGTGGCAGCATCATGCTGTGGGGATGTTTTTCAGCGGCAGGGACTCAGAGACTAGTAAGGATCGAGGGAAAGATGAACAGAGCAAAGTACAGAGAGATCCTTGATGAAAACCTGCTCCAGAGCGCTCAGGACCTCAGACTGGGGCGAAGGTTCACCTTCCAACAGGACAACGACCCTAAGCACACAGCCAAGTCAATGCAGGAGTGGCTTCGCGACAAGTCTCTGAGTGTCCTTGAGTGGCCCAGCCAGAGCCCGGAATTGAACCTTATCGAACATCTCTGGAGAGACCTGAAAATAACTGTGCAGCGACACTCCTCATCCAACCTGACAGAGCTTGCAGAGAAGAATGGGAGAGACTCCCCAAATACAGGTGTGCCAAGCTTGTAGCGTCATACCCAAGAAGACTCGAGGCTGTAATCGCTGCCAAAGGTTATTCAACAAAGTACTGAGTAAAGGGTCTGAATACTTATTTAAATGTGATATTTCAATTTTTTTTTAACCTGTTTTTGCTTTGTTATTATGGGGTATTGTGTGTAGATTGATGAGGGAAAAAAATATTGAATCCATTTTAGAATAAGGCTGTAACGTCACAAAATGTCAAGGGGTCTGAATACTTTCCGAATGCACTGTACAAAGAGGGATGATTAGCTTACAGAGTAGAACTGACCAGTACTGTTCTGGCAGATATGATATATCCCGCTGTGTTGTATGCCTGTCCCAAAGTGTACAATTTGTCAAAGGGCATAAGATTGATTAATTGCTTTATATTCTGTAATAAGAAACCACCTGGACCTTCATTTCCTAAATCGAATAGATTGCATATCCCACTCTCTGTCAAAATCTTCATAATGAGGTCATTTCCATCCCAAAGGACCAGATATGATGCTAAAACAATTGGTTTTTAAATAGCATGACTTTAGCCTGATAATCCTGTTCGGCTGCAAAGAAATTATGGATATATTTTCGAAACTGGTCTACTTTTCTTTATTTTCTAATCTTGACTTCTTCAGATACTGTAGTTTTATGTTATTGCATACTTTTCTCATATTCTTTGTTGATTCATGTTGATAACAACCTTATATTACACTGAGTATACCAAACATTAAGAACACCTTCCTAATGTTGAGTTACTCCCCCCCACCCCCCCTATTTAGTCTAATTCATTATTGGTCATTCATATATATTCACTAAATGTATTAGTATTATAATATAGTATTATTATAGCTAGGTATTCTGTCAGATTTTCATAAATGCTGTAGGCATTTCTTATAACAAATAGTTTCTCCAGTCATCAGAATATGCCAGATCTGACTCTCAACTCTTGTCCAAGGCACCTTTTTCAATTTGGATCGAAAAATCAATAACGACACCGCTCTCTAGTGGACAATATAGGATATTGCAGGACACTTACTGTTCCAAAAAAAGTAGGGGAGTGGATCAGAAAACCAGTCAGTATCTGGTGTGAACACCATTTGCCTCATGCAGCGCGACACATCTCCTTCGCATAGAGTTGATCAGCCTGTTGAGTGTGGCTAGTGGAATGTTGTCCCACTCCTCTTCAATGGCTGTGCGAAGTTGCTGGATATTGGCGGGAACTGGAACACGCTGTCATACATGTCGACCCAGAGCATCCCAAACATGCTCAATGGTTGAAATGTCTGGTGAGTATGCAGGCCATGGAAGAACTGGGACATTTTCAGCTTCCAGGAATTGTGTACAGATCCTTGCGACATGGGGCCCGTGCATTATCATGCTGAAACATGACGTGATGGTGGCAGATGAATGGCACGACAATGGGCCTCAGGATCTCGTCACGGTATATCTTTGCATTCACATTGCCATCGATCAAATGCAATTGTGTTCGTTATCTGTAGCTTATGCCTGCCCATACCATAACACCACCATGGGGCACTCTGTTCACAACATTGACATCAGCAAACCGCTCGCCCAGACGACGCCATCTGCCCGGTACAGTTGAAATGGGGGTTCATCCGTGAAGAGCACACTTCTCCAACATGCCAGTGGCCATAGAAGGTGAGCATTTCCCACTGAAGTCGGTTACGACGCCGAACTGCAGATGAGTTTCCCTGAGACGGTTTCTGACAGTTTGTGCAGAAATTCTTCGGTTGTGCAAAACCACAGTTTCATCAGCTGTCCGGTGTGTCTGGTCTCAGACGATCCCGCAGGAGAAGAAGCCGGATGTGGAGGTCCTGGGCTGGCGTGGTTACACGTGGTCTGCGGTTGTGAGGCCGGTTGGACGTACTGCCAAATTCTCTAAAACAATGTTGGAGACGGCTTATGGTAGAGAAGTTAACATTCAATTATCTGGCAACAGCTCTGGTGGACATTCCTGCAGTCAGCATGCCAATTGC